TTGTTATGAAAGCTGGCCTTTTAATTTAATGCAATACAATTTTAATGAATTTCTTATTAAGTTAAATACAGATGTGACAGCAGAATGTGGAAAGCACACACTATAGCTGTGCGAGGTCCAATAAAGTGATAAAAGCTGTTTGTGTGGTTAAGGATGGCTTTGAAAGTATGTGGTAACCTAGCCACAGATACTGGGCAGCCTATGAAACCCAATTTGCTGTATGTCAGAAGTTTCCTGTGAGATATTAAGCCTTTTTGATTGATTATAGTTCACTTTCTTGCTGCTGCTAGAGGTTGCTCTGTGCTGAGTTGGATTTGATACCATAAAAAGTCACGGAGGAAACTAAAGTGCTTGTTTTGTACTAGTAGCCTGTTTTGAAGGCAGGAAAAAAAAATGCAGATCTGGGCTTTTAAACCTGCACTGAATGACTCCTCTGTGAAAGGTAGGGCAGAGTTAGTAGTAGTATACTTTTGCCCTTGCGTTTACTATAAAATAGGTCACAGAAAAGGGGGCACTGTATCTTTAAATATTGTTACCCTGCTGATCCTGGATTATGATTAGGTTACGTAACTTGCTTATGAGCTGCTTTTCATTAAGACTTCCACAGAACAAATACTTCCATTTTAGTCTAAAGCACAAGAGGGCGCTGTGTTTGATTCAATCTCTGCTGAGAGCCAGAATGCAGACACGCAGTTTTATGAACACTCTAACAACCATTTTAGTAAAGGATTTATTTAAATGTAGACAGCTACTTTCCTGTAAACCATGCAAGTCCTAAAAGTCTTCATCACTGCCAACTGCTCGCATGAATTATCACAGGATAAGTAGATGTCTGAATGTAAAACAACTAATTAACTTTAATGGAATTATACATTAATCTTAGCTGAAGTATAGTCACTTGTAAAAATCAAGTGTACATAAAAGATGTTAAATCAATGCATTAAAAGCATTTTTCTCTAAGCCTCCAAATTATTGTATTAAGTGCATCCTCTGCTAAGTAAAACAAAACTTTGATACTTCTTTTGTTGGTCTCAAAAGCTAGCTACACTGATCATCAATGAAAGTAAAAGGCTGATGCCTATAGCTCTTAATGAGGGTAAGAACAGGACCAAAACTAGGGAGCCAAGTTATAGATTAACCCAACTGCAGGAAAAGGCTCAGTATTTATAAAGATTTTACAAGCCAACATTTAGGTCCCAATCCTTAGAGGGAAGTCAATATCTCCCAAGAGGTACTCGGCACTTTGGAGAATCAGCTCATACTTAGAATTTATGTAGCACTAAGAGGTCAGATTCTCCCAGTCATGAAGTGGGGTGCAGTGCTGTTGTCAATAAAATTAAGGCCCACTTACACCAGAGCTGGTATCTTTAAAACTGTACAATATCAACTAATGAATCTGCCTCAACCAATCTGAGGTAGTGATTATTCCAGTGGATACTCCAGAACTACTGCAATGAAGGTTGAAAAAGGCCTCCTTACCCAACAAGTTAAATGAAACAATGGGCTAAAGGGAGGCAGCATTATACAGGGGTTAGAGCAGGAAACTGGGAAGTTAAATCACCTGGGTTCTAGTCTATTTGGTGACTCCACCACTTACCTGCTGAGTGACCTTGGGTAAATCACTTAACCACTCTGTACCTTGGTTTCCCCAGAGGTAAAATGAGAGACTTTTAAAAATGCCTAAAAGTTAGTTATAATTCCATTCTTCTGATGGATTTATATTTGCTATGTATATTTCAATGAGATTTAAATGTCACTTATAATTTCTTTTGAAGTCTCATTCATTCATATTGAAATGAATTCATTTCATTCATTCATATTGGTATCCCTGTATGTATTTTAAAATATTGTTTATACCTTTATTCCATTTAAAAAGTAACTAGCAGATTAATAAAAATGGCCTTATGCTTCTCACTTGAAAACTTAAGCATCCCTTCCCTGCGACTGACCCATATATTAGTCTCCTGTGCAAAAATTAATGGAGGAAGCCACACTAATGTAAAAACTCCATAATTCTAAGAGCTGTGGAGTTTGAGCATTTTCCCCCCTCTGATGAAGTGTACCAGGCCTTCCTGGCCCCCTGCTGCTCAGCTACACCCTGCCCTGGGAAGGTGGGAGGAAAAGAGCAGTAAAGATGGGTCCTCCAGACCTACCTAGAGAGACCTCACTGGGGTAGCCACCTTGGAAGCCAGAGACACATTGGTCTCCTCATCTCAAAAAGGATATACTGGCATTAGAAAAGGTTCAGAGAAGGGCAACTAAAATGATTAGGCGTTTGGAATGGGTCCCATATGAGGAGAGATTAAAGAGGCTAGGACTTTTCAGCTTGGAAAAAAGACTAGGGGGGGATATGATAGAGGTATATAAAATCATGAGTTGTGTGGAGAAAGTGAATAAGGGAAAGTTATTTACTTGTTCCCATAATATAAGAACTAGGGGCCACCAAATGAAATGAATGGGCAGCAGGTTTAAAACAAATAAAAGGAAGTTCTTCTTCACACAGCGCACAGTCAACCTGTGGAACTCCTTGCCTGAGGAGGTGGTGAAAGCTAGGACTATAACAGGGTTTAAAAGAGAACTGGATAAATTCTTGGAGGCTAAGTCCATTAATGGCCATCAACCAGGATGGGTAAGGAATGGTGTCCCTAGCCTCTGTTTGTCAGAGAGTGGAGATGGATGGCAGGACAGACATCACTTGATCATTACCCGTTAGGTTTACTCCCTCTGCGGGGCACCTGGCATTCGCCACTGTCAGCGGACAGGATACTGCGCTGGATGGACCTTTGGTCTGACCCAGTATGGTCGTTCTAAAAATAGGTTTTTTTTGTTTTTTACCTTAGAATGAATAATAAAATTGTCTGTGACAGTGCAGAGTCCCTCCCCCCCCCCCCCCCACCTGGAAAACAAGTTAATTCTAGCTCAGGTCGCCTCTCCACATGCACAGGTGCTTAGGGGAAGATAATGAGGCAGGGTTATGGAATGCAGGCTAATCAGTTTCCTCCGTTGGATGACAGGAAACACCATAAAGATAGCTGCTTAGGAACTAGCCTAGCCTTAAGAAGGGATCTATATCAAGTTATTTGCACTGAGGTTATAGGTTAGATTGGAGTTTTTTCTGGTTTTGATTTTTGGCTTGTGAAGCCCAGTTTGTTTTGTTAACACTACTGCATTTGGAATACTTTGAGGAATAAAAAGCCTTAAGGAGGAATGTGAGCTATCTGAAGAATTGTCTGATTTTAAGTATTCAATCTATTTTCCTTGATGGCATGTTGGCTGTTGTGCGATTTCACACTTCCATAGACCATATGAAGAATGTAACAAGATGAAGAAAGGTTTCAGAGTAGCAGCCATGTTAGTCTGTATCTGTAAAAAGGAGGACTTGTGGCACCTTGGAGACTAACAAATTTATTAGAGCATGAGCTTTCGTGAGCTGTAGCTCCCTTCATCGGATACTGCATCCAATGAAGTGAGCTGTAGCTCATGAAAGCTCATGCTCTAATAAATTTGTTAGTCTCTAAGGTGCCACAAGTCCTCCTTTTCTTTTGAAGATGAAAATGTGGCAAAACAGTTGACTGCTGCAGATGGAGCCCTTGCTGCTGTTCAGTTTATGTAGAAGTAACAGCAAGTGCTAGTAGAATGGCTTCAAGTAGGTCCTGGTGTGTACAGTGGAGTGGATGGGACCACTTTGGCTTAAAAGCTGGTCATATCTCACATCATACTTATTGGTGGGAGGAGCTGTTTTTTGCCTCAGTTTGGATCCTGCTGACCCTGTATCTTAAAATGGTTGAATGTCTGGGGGCATGGCTACACTGGAAACTTCAAAGCGCTCCTGTGGTCGCACTTGGGTACTGGGAGAGAGATCTCCCAGCGCTCCTGGTAATCTACCTCCACCCTGTTTCCTAGGGTCCCAGTAGTCACGCCATGGAGGGGGTTGTCCTTAAATCACAGACCGCATTAGAGGGTGGGTGGGTCCTTTATATGCGTTAGTATCAGTATTCCTGAGGCTGAATGTATTCCCAGGGGTTTCAGCACATGACATCACCTTTAATAAAAGATTACTCTTTAATTCCCGGAGCCTCCATGATGATCCTGGAGGGTGGGCAACCCTAAGTGTTATGATGGAGTGGATGGGCCTTGGGCGGGGGGGAAGCATTCATGTTTGGACAGACCTGAGGGGAAAACAGGGCTCTGGGGTATCTGGGTGCTACGGGAGGGAGCGCTTGGTGGGGGAAATGGGGGGGGGGGTGCTCAGTGGTATGTGGGTGCTACAGGAAGGAGTGCTTGGTGGGGCAAAGGGGAAATGGGGGGTGCTTGGTGGTACATGGGTGCTATGGGAGGGAGTGCTTGGGGGGTGCTTGGTGGTACACGGTTGCTATGGGAGGGAGCACTTGGGGGGGCAAAAGGGAAAGGGGGGGTGCTCGGTAGGGTAGTGACTAGGGTGACCAGATGTCCCGATTTTATAGGGACAGTCCCAATTTTTGGGTCTCTTTATTAGAGACGCTCCTATTACCCCGCCCCGAGTTTTCAGCGTTGCTGTCTGGGCACCCTAGCGGCGACCCTGGCCCTGCAGGCTGCCCGCTGGAGGGCAGCGGGGAACGTTAACTGGGGCTTGGGGGCCAGGGGCAAGTGGGGGTGGGAAGCGGCCCCCGGGCCCTGTAGGGGAGAGGGGCGGAGGCTGAGTCCCCGGCACGGAGGAGATGGGGGGTGGGGATGGTGCTCGGGGCAGCCTTGTGCTGGGAGTGGGGGCAGGGCGGTGCTTGGGCCCCTTTACCAAGATGGCGACTGGTTCTCTCTTCACCCCTCCCCCCCGCGAGCGCGGGCCCCGTGTGGCGGCAGCGCCGCCCTGGCGGCTGGAGGACCCCGCGCTCTGCGGGAGGGGAAAGGCCGCGGCCTGCGCCCAGGCCGCTGGGGGGGGGGGGGGCGGCGGCGGTGGTGGCGGCTGGGGGGGGAGGGGGAGAAGATGGCGGCAGCCGTCGGCGCTGAGAGCGGTTGAGGGGGAGGGATCCGGGCCCGGCCGCGGCGGCGACACCGCCCCTCGCTCGGCCCCGCCCCGCCGGGAGGGAGGGAGACGGAGCCCGAGCCCTGCAGCCGAGCCCAGCAGCCGGAGCAGGGGGCCCCGGGCGCCCAGGACCCCACAGCGGGAGCCGGGGCCCCAGCAGCAGCGGGAGCCGGAGCCCCTCGGGGCCGCCCCCCTCCGTGTGGCCGGCGGAGCCGCTGTCGCACCCCCGTGAGCTCCGCTGGGGGCAGGCCGGAGGCGGCGGCAGGTGAGCGGAGCTCGCAGCCCGGCCGGACTGCAGCTGTCAGGGGGCCGGGCAGAGGGGAGGGGCGGCGGCGCCCCGTTGCCCCCCGCCTGGGCCGGGAGGGGCGGGGCGGGTCACAACGGGTGTGTGGTGGGGGGGCTCTGGGGTACTGCGGGGGGGCTGGGGGCAGAGCAGGTCCAGTGAGGGGCACCCTAGAGCAGTGCACCGGGGGGGGGTGTGTGTGCAGGGGGGCCCCAGGCTGGGTAGGGGGCGAGCCCCACGGGAACTGGGGAGCAGCGGCGTCTGGAGGACCCCCCAGTGCTCGCCCCGCGGCGCGGCGGAGGCGGGGATCTAGGGCACTGGGGGGGCCCTGGACGAGGGGGCGGGGTGGGGTATTCCCCCCCCCCCCCGTGCTGTGGGGCTCGGGAGGAGCGGAGCACTCGGGCTAGGGGCGCGGAGAGGGTGAGGGGGAGCAAATGCGGGGAGAGTGACGGGGGCATGCGGTGGGGCTGATACTTTGGGCCTTCCCCTTCAGCCGTGCGTCGGGGTAAGGAGGGGAAACCACCAGGCAAACGCACCCTCCGTGGTCTGGGCTGTGCCGGGGGGAAACTAAAGCTGTCATGGTGCTAGAAAGTAGCAAATGGGTGTGTGCGGGAGGCAGGGGAGGAAAAGGGGGATGGGAAGGGGGATGTTCAGTATTTTGAAGTTGTCCTGGACGCTGGTGAGGAGCTGAGCATTCTCCCCATAGACAACTCCTATTCTAAGGGGTATTTTGGCCTTTTTTTTTTGCAGGTTTCTGGGCTGTATTGTGTGCCATGCCATTCTTCTTTGAGGGGGGTGGCTGTAGGGGTAATGTGAAAGAAATGTCTGTTGGTTTGGGGATAAGGGGGTTTGGGGGGTGGGAGGGTGCAGCACGCTTTGGCTCCCGCACAGCAGCAGTGCGGGGAAGGGGATGGGTGACAGTCGAAGCTGATTAAATCAGGGCTCTTCGTTTCTGAACTAGTTTGTGCGTTTGTTCAGATTGTTAAGAAATTGATTTGAAAAGTAAGGAAGCAGGGTTTTTTCCTTCTAGCGTCCCTGTGAGGGAGGAATTGGAACTATATGGAGTGACTTTGTCTTGGTTCTGCAAACATGGCTGAAGGGGAGGGAATGGGGGTTGTTGATGGGGTGAAGCTGCGCACAAATGGGGGTGGTGGTGGTCACACAGCAACAGGGAGCTGCTGAAACGTCTGTTGCAGGGACAGCGGGCTGGGGGAGGGGAAGACATTTCATTTTGTTGCCTTTTAAATGACAGCTCTTTGTTTGTTTGCATCTTCTGATCAGTTACATTATTACACCAGCACCATTGAATTAGGTTACGCACATTAATTTTTTCGTGTAAAATTTCTAAGAGGAAAAACAAGTAATACATTAATGCGGTTTCTTGGTTAAAGGAAATGAAGATGGTAATGTGGTATCAAATAGCTTTCAGTGTAATTTGAGCTGAGAAGATGGCTCAGTCATTATGCATTTTGTTTGGAAAAACAGCCAACAGTCTGAGTAAAAGATGTGTATGCTGCTTACTGCTGTTCTGAAGTGTGTGGGGAGATTTTGATTTTTTTTCTGCTTTTTTTCCTCTGTCAGCAGCTGAATTGTTGCCCTAAATTTTGTAGGTTTCTGTCCTAGAAACATGGACTAGAAGCAGCAGCAGACTGTGGATAATTCTTAAGTTGGGGGTGTGTGTAAGTGGCAACCCAGGAGTTCCAGTTGGAACTAAGGGGGTTATAGCTAGTAGAATGACATTTAGTTATATAGAAGCAGTGGCTGAGAGGCAATTTTCTTCCAGTGTAGGCGGCTCTAGACACTAAAATCCCTGGTTTCTTAGGTGCATGTTGACCTTTCAATAGCTGAGAATTGGGTTGCCATTATGTTGTTGTTGTATGTTTGATATTTTCATGATTGTATTGCATTATACTACAATGCAACAAGGGGGTGGTTTGTGACCTAAAGTGCTAGAGAGTTGGTATGTAAAAGTTTACTCAACATATAGTGGATGTTAACTCTACAGACCCAGATATGGCATAACCAAAAAGGGGGACACAGCAAAGAGCAAGGCAGAGCTGAAAACTCTTAATAATGTAGGTGTTTAGCATGTGCTGTTCTTAAGATCTTGCATTCCTTATGTTCATAGTTTACACTTATATACGTGACCTGGCTTATGTGGGGTTGCAGGAAATGTGAATCTCAAAAGTGGTACACCTGATGAAGTACAGATGAGTAGTATGTTAGTGGATTTAAACTAAAAATGAGGTTTACTGTTTACTTTTCCAGGGGTGTACTATCCTATTCCAATTCAGAGCCTGTAGTATTTTCAGCTTGCCACAATCTTATGGGAAAGTTTAAATGTTCTAAAATGTTAAGTTACTTTGTACCTATGACAGCTCTTTATATAGCGGAAACAGCAAAAACTATTACATACAGTTTCTCCAGTTTGTTTAAGCCCCTTGAACAGCAACAGGGAGAGAAATAGGAAAAGGTGATTGTAAATCGACAAATTTGCAGAGGGTCTCAGAAACTGATATAGTATCTGAAACTACATTTAACTGAGTTTTTGAAAATGATTGGCGTTCAAGTTGTCCCTTTTAAAAACAAACACCTACTGATGCTAGACAACAATAGTAACTTCAGCAATATTATACCTGTCTCAGAGCCTGTGGGCATGATTGAAATGATATGATCTTACCTGGTTTGCTCAAGTTAAGTATTTATTGTCTAGAAATATGCTGCTGTCATGTTGTTTAGCAGCATGATTCCTTGCTTTCAAAACAAATGCACTTCACAAGAAACCACGTTGGGTTAGAGTAGTACTAATTAAGACCTTTATTTTTTAGTCATTAGTTTGATTTAGAGATGGTGTTAGGCTGTTGGTTTTCCCCCATAACTTGCCCTCTGCTGTGAACACTGTAAGAGAAAAATTCACAACTGTATGACTAATTCACGTAATTAGTCATGCAACTTCCATTGTAGAATTATTGGCATAGAAATACTATCATTTTATGTTCTAATACTGCATTGTCTTGTTTTAGAAACATATGTGCCCATTGCTGAGACTTCAGTCTCTTAACATCATTTATATGTGATACATCTATAAATGTTTGAAACCTTTAGGATCATTAGATTTCCTTAACTTTTTATAAACATTTTTATAATGAGCAGATTTGCTGGAGATCAACACCTTGTGGGCTACTAATCCAAGAGAGTTAATTTGCATGTGACCTATGAGGATTGTCAGAAGTTAGGGTGTGAGCGTTGTAACTAAAAATATCCTCTCTTGCATAAGCAATTTGCCAGTTGAAGAACATTAATTTAATTTTTGTGTAAGCAAACTACTTATATTGCAAGTTTTGCTTGGTTCCTCATTTCCTTGAAGCAGTGATGCTTATCTCTTTTATCAAAGGGAGGGAATAAAAAATAGTTTTTAAAGTTACATTGAAATCTTTTTTTAAAAGAGAAATAGGGAAAGCTCAGAGAAACAGGTAAAAGTTAAATCAAGCCTGCCCAAAAGGGCAAATACAGCCCAGAGTCTACTACATCCTGTAGCTACCGCTGCCATATAACAAAGGCTAATTGTTGACCAAATTCAATCAAGCATTTAATATTGGTTTATTTAGAAACTAGTTCAAACAGACAATTGTAGATAACCATAATACTTAAGGCCTGGTCTAAATGGTTGAAATGGTGCAACTTTGCTTGGCACTATTCTTGTATCTGTTTAAACCTGGCTCTTAAGCAGATTCAAGGGTAGTGCCATGCAAAGTTGCATCAGTTTAACATAACATCCCTCGTTAAATAGGCATACCTTCTGTGTAGACAAGCTTTAAAGTGCTTTGAGGACTCTGGGGACTGCCCTAAACACAAAATTGCATCAGTTTAACTAAAAATGTGATTTTTTTTTAAATAGATTTAGTTAAGACAATACATCTTGGTGTATGGACACTTTAAATCCGTTTAAACTTGCTTATTGGTTTAGCTTGCCCCTGTAAACAAATAGGAGCAAGGTAAACTGACAGCCAGTTTTGAATTAATGTGTCCCCACAGAGGGATTTGCCCTGATTTAACTAAACCTGTACAAGCTTGTGTGTAGACAAAGGAAAGGTGTTATAGAAATGCAAAATAGTTCAATGAATATACGAATGAGCAGTGTCACTCGAACTTTCCTGGCAAGTAAGCTGTACGAGCCTCAATTGCAAAATATGGGCACTGCCTATGATGAAGCTAAGACAACTTCTAAAATAAAACTGGGGCAGGTTCTGCCCTCAGATGTATGTGTAATTTTCTCCCAGAGGCACAAAAACATTTAAATGTTTAAAGCTCAGTCTTAAAAAGACAGATTCAAGGAGATGCAAAATCAAGGCTGACCCTCTGTCTAACTTTTGGGGGAAACAAATGTTTAACTTGTTTAGTTTTGTTCTATGAAATCTAAGTGTCATGAAAGATACATATAAAACAGGCTGCTTAACTAAGAACAGGATCTCTTAAACTGGATCACCTTTTTCAGTTTTTTATTATATGCTTAAAATTGATCAGGATATTACATGAATTAGCTGATGTGGAAAAGGGGGTGGGGGAGAAGAAACGAGCCTTGCACATGTTCTGTGTGTTCATGATGTCCTGAATAAGGAACTGTTGGTTTTTAAAAACAAAAACAAAATTCAGGTCTTGGGTACGTTTTTGGGTCAGAGGTTCAAGGTACTCTGGCTTGGAGCTCTATGAATGGAGAATGATGACATATCAAGAGACTTAAAGCTTAGCAGTTGAGAGGGAAAGGGATTTTTATTTTTGTGTTCACTTTTTTCATGTATATTTAACTCCAAAACTTGGGAGAAAAGTTGATAATTGAAGCATTGAACCTCTAAACCTTTCAGTCTTCTATGTATAAAGCTGAGCCAACCTGACTTAAAAAAGCCTTTGCAGGATCTACAACAAACCCTCTAAAGTATCTGGAATCATTAATTTTTATAGTTGCATTAAATTAAAAATAATGC